TTCCCTAACTCTCCTCGTACATGATGACCTTCCTTTGGCATAGTCCTAGGCATGGATTGGGGAGAGGCAGCAGGGGCCACACTTCATTTGAGAGAGCATGAGTGTAGGCTCCCTAGTCCGTCAGGCGAAGTCAAGACCGCCCGCCTGTTTCATGTGTCTGGAGTAGATAACTCCTTGGCACATTGCTATCTCAGTGCTCCCGCATTCGCGCAATTAGTGAGAAAGGAGCAGTTAGAGGAGCAGGTCTTCGTAGCCTATGTGAGGTCTGGCATTGAGCCTAAGGAAGACACACCCATAGACCCAGTTATTGCCAAGCTGCTAGAGAGTTTCAGGATTTGACAGAGCCGCCGACAGGAGTAGTGTCGCGACCAACCCAGCATCGTATAGAGATAGAGCCTCGTTGTAGAACTCATAAGGGAGCAGTCTACAGGATGTCCCCAAAGGAGTTAGAGGAGTTGCGTAAGCAGTTAGACGAGCTCCTCGAAAAGGGTTGGATTAGGGCCAGTTCATCTCCTTTTGGAGCACCGGTATTGGAGCACCAGTACTATTTGTCCCCAAAAAGGAAGGAGAATTGCGTATGTGTATAGACTACCACGGTCTGAATGCGATCACAGTAAAGAATGCTGAGCCACTACCTAGGATAAACAATCTTTTAGATCGTGTGCAGGGCTGCAGATATTTCTCGAAGATTGATTTGAAGTCCGAATATCATCAGATAGAGGTCCATCCTAATGACCAGTACAAGACTGCATTGCGGACTAGATATGGGCACTATGAGTTCATAGTGATGCCCTTTGGACTGACCAACGCGCCTGCTACATTCTAGTGTTGTATGAATGATCTGTTTAGGTCGTGGTTAGATAAATTTGTCGTAGTGTATTTAGATGACATCTTAGTGTTCAGTAGGACCCTCCAAGAGCACTAGGGTCATTTGAGGCAGGTCTTGGAGAAGCTGAGAGAGGCTAACTTCAATATCGACGTGAAGAAGTGCGAGTGGGCCAAGACACAAGTCTTGTACTTGGGCCACGTTTTAGATGGGGATGGCATTAGGCCTGAGGACAGCAAGATAGCGGCGATTAGAGATTGGCCGACACCCCGCACGTTGACTGAGTTGCGGTCGTTTCTAGGTCTAGCTAATTACTACAGGAAGTTCGTGAGGAACTTCTCGACTATCGCCGCCCCCCTTCGCAGGTTGCTCAAGAAAGAGGCAATCTGGCAGTGGGAAAAAGACTACGTCTGGAATAAGAAGTTAAAGCGCGCATTAATAGAGTATTCTGTCCTCAAAGTAGAAGATTTGTCTTTGCCATTTGCCGTCACCACGGACGCGAGTCAGTATGGTATAGGCGTCGTGTTACAGTAGGACAACGACAATGGCTACAGACTCGTAGAGTTCATGTCAACGAGGATGCCCTCAGAGAAGGTAGCCACCTCGACGTACGAGAGAGAACTCTACGCTCTCAGGCAGGCCTTAGAGCACAGGAAGCATTACCTGCTTGGGAGGCACTTCAAAGTGTATTCAGACCACGAGACTCTTAGGTGGTTGAAGACACAGGCCAAAATGACACCTAAGTTGACTAGGTGGGCCGCTGAGATAGACCAGTACAACTTTGAGCTCAAGCCTGTTAAAGGAAAGTACAATGTAGTTGCGGACGCTCTGAGTAGGAGATCAGACTACGTTGGAGCTATAGTTCACTATCTGGATATAGGGAGTGACCTGCAGGAGAGAGTTAGACAGGCGTATGCGCATGACCCTATCTATAGTGACCTCCTCAAGAGAGTTCAGGAGGCCCCAGAGACCGAACCAGACTACCGCATTAAAAAGGGACTGTTGTTTGAGAAGACTAATGTAGTCGACCGTCTATGCGTCCCTAAGAGCGAGGAGATTCGTAGTTTGATCCTAGGGGAATGCCACGACACAGAGGGACATTTCGGTCGGCAAAAGACTTTAGCCAATCTGATGCATGTGTACACTTGGCCAGGAATGAAAGCTGACTGCATAGAGTATGTCCGCAGTTGCAAAAGATGCCAGAGAAACAAGAGTACTACGCGTGCCCCTCTAGGTCTTCTCAGACCCTTGTCTATTCCTGATCGGCCTGGAGATTCGGTGTCCATTAACTTTATGGACGTCGGCGTCAAGAGTAGGCACGGCAAGAGCTAAGTCATGGTCATAGTTGATAGATTGAGCAAGTATGCAGTTTTTGTTCCTTTGCCTGCAAAGGCACGTACAAAGTTAGTAATTCAGAAGTTTTTTATATTTCTGGGTTAGTGAGCATGGCGTCCCATTGTCTATTGTTAGTGATAGAGATACTCGCTTCATGAGTCAGAGCTGGCAGGAACTGATGAAAGTTTATGGGTCAAAGTTGTTGATGTCGTCTGCCCGCCATCCAGAGACTAACGGTCAGACAGAGCAAATGAACAAGATCCTGCAGCAAGTTTTGCTCATGTACATTAGACCAGATCAAGTCAACTGGGACGAGATGTTGCACAAGGTAGCCAGTGCGTACAATAACAGCATGCACTTGTCCACCTGTCGCACTCCCAACGAGTTGCACAAGTCCTTTAAACCGCGTAGACCATTTGAGGGACTTAATCGGGATCAGATTCACAGGCTACTGCCCGGTACCAGGGAGTTCGCGATACAGCACGAAAAAGAGCTAGCTACAGTCGTAGAGAACCTCAGGAAGGCCCAACATCAAATGATAGAGCAAGCCAACAAATACCGTCGCCCATCGCAGTTCCTAGTAGGCGACTTAGTCTGGGTCAAGTTTAAAGAGTTTGCTCCTGAGGAAAACATCTCACAGAAGTTACTGCCAGCGTACAGGGGACCATGGCCAGTTCTAGAAGTCAAGGGCGGGGAGGATGGGCCGTCCTACACAGTAGAGATCCCAACACACCTCCACACCTACCCGGTGTTCCATGCATCAAAGTTGTTGCCGTGCGTCACAAGTCAACAGTTTCCATCTAAAAGGTCCATGATTCCTCCGGGCAAGGACGAAAGATACGACATTGACGACATTGTAGGTGAAGACGTGTTCAGAACAGGAGTTAGAGGTCGTCCACAGAAGCAATATAAGGTCCGGTTTGCTTATCAAGAACCGGAGGACGATCGCTGGTTTACCAGAACAGAACTGCTAGAAACAACTCCCGACATAGTTAGTGCCTACGAGAGAGATAAGAAAGGTAAAGGTCTTGCCTTAGACTGAGTTATTCTCGGAGGACCTTGAATTTAGCTTGACGGGAGTGAAACGGTATTCACCTGTTCGCAGTAGCCGATGCAGAGCCCAGGGCTCGATCCCTAGCCCTCACCTTACCTGTGTACAGTATCTGTGTCGACCCCGAGAGTTGAACCCGTGACCTGTGTATTTGTAACAGTTGGTAGACTGTCGTAGGGTCCGTAGGTAGTAGGGTTTCGATCTGTAGACCTGTCGGGTAGGAGTCTTAGCAAGGTCTAGAAGTCGTAGCTGTAGCTCCTCCGAAAGGTCAAGGTCGTAGCTGCTACAGTCCTGAAGGGTCAAGGTCGTAGCTGCTACAGTATCGAAAGGCCAAGTCCACGGCCTTCCGGAAGGTCCTAGTAGTGGCCTTTCGAAGTTGCTCACGTTTAGGCTGAGGCAAGTGGGCAAGTGGTGGAGTCCACCCGTGCTGAGTCAGCAGTCCCAGTCCCAGTCCAGTCCAGCAAGTACCGCACGGGGCTGTGTGCACCACGGGCATGGGAAAGGGGCAGACCGACGAGATACAAAAGTATAAATCAAGAGGCAACGCCCAGCTATTCATTCATTCCTGCGTGAGCCATGCGGAAGCGCTGCCACAACGACTTGTGGGAGGTGGTCTGCAGTGAGCCCGAAGATGAAGTGGGCGAGAGAAGGAGCTTAGCCATAGCAATAGGGTAGTAGCAGCCATAGCCGCCCTAGCTGATAGGAGGGTGTAGCGTGTATGTGTGGGCGTGTGTATACAGTGTGGTGCGTGTGGGATATCCAGGGTGATCCTGTGTGTGTTTGAGCAGAGAGTTGAGGCGTTGTGACGCCATAGCCATCGGAAGTGAACTTGTATCTGAACTGTGTTTTTGGTTTCCATACAGCGCAACCTGTTTACATGCATGAGAAGTGCGAATGAGAGCGAGTCTGATTGCAAAAGAAGAAGAAGAAGAAGAAGAAGAAGAAGAAGAAGAAGGTGTCTCTCAACCTCTTTATCTCTCTCTCTCTCTCTCTCTCTCTCTCTCTCTCTCTCTCTCTCTCTCTCTCTCTCTCTCTCTCTCTCTCTCTCTCTCTCT